AGGGGCGGGGGTTGGGGGGGAGATGGTGGGGGTCAGCGTAGAGTAATTGCAATGAGGACAGATGGTGATGTGGCCCTGCGCCGCGGCTCCAGGGAACAGCCGCCAGACCTTTCTCCATCAGTGGGGAGCTGGCGGACGCACACAAAGCCCCCGTAAATCCTCACCTCCTCATTCTCAATCTTCAGTGTAGCCAAGCGAGACTGTAGTTGGTGGTAGCGCATCAAGAGCTCCGTCTGGACGGGCTGCTGGGCGCTCACCTGGCACACCTAAGAAGAAGAAGAAGAAGAAGAAGAAGAAGAAGAAGCATTAGTAAGGCTAGTCACCAACCTACAGTATCCATTCTCATTCATTTACAACGTATCTTTACCGTATTTCTTCATCACATCGGTTTCCTATTTTAAGCATCGTGATCCCCAAAATTACTTTCGATTTAAGGCGCTTACACCCAACCCGGGTTTTTGCTGCACTCACTGCAGGAAAGTGCAGGATGGATGGCAGTATGGCACAAACGTGCCCATATTTAACACTGGTTGTCAATCGACCAAACAGGAAGTAGCCTGGTGCATTGTCCCACTGGTTTGCACAGAAAGTGGGAGTCAGCTCAAACATTTATTTGCGGCTTATAAAAACAAGGGGGAAATAGAATGCGAGTGACGTATTTTAAGCTACCATTTTTATTTTTAACAATGCAAAAATAATTTTTTGACCACTTGCAACAAGTGGTGCCGATCCCCGTCCATCATTTTATTTACCACTGCACGGTACGTCATTTGTCTAATATCGAGTGTCCCACAGCTCAGGCTACTGAGACGTCACATTAATTATTGCGTCTCCCGTTTACTCACTTCTTTCTTTCCTCTTCTGTTTTCACTGAATAACTTTTCCAAAATCTGTTGCTGTTGTCATTTTGAAATCACTGCGCCGCCATCTCTCCAATTAGATGTCATCACAGCACGGCGCTGCACCAGTTTGCTACGCCACAGCAGCACGTACACAACAAATGCGTTGGTTGACGTTGCACTGCGCTGTGCTAAAGTGTGAAATGTGAAACTGAAAAGGTCTTTGGTGAGACGATACTAAGCACACAGGACAGAGTATGTTTTTTTTTTGTGGTGGCCATGGAGAAAAAAAAACATTTCTTTAGATGGTCACTGAACTGAGGTCTAACAATTTGACACGTCACGTGGTCAAACTCACTGCTTTTGAGTAATGTTTCACAACCATAATTGAGTCAAGACATATTACGAAAATCTCACGGCAAACCAAATAAAAATGTCACAAAAAGTATGTTTTTCTGCTAAATCCGACAAATTGGGGATACGCTGAGCACGGTGATCGTCTCACCTCATCTCCCATGTGCGGCAGGTACTCGAAGCGCATTGGGGGGCAGAACACTTGGTTATGCATATCCATGAGCTTGTGCTTGTCGCTGCGAGAGTCCAAATTGTCCACCGCGTTCTCGATGACATCGAGTCCCTCGTGGCGAGACGTCTCCAGGTTGTACTCTGCCGACAAGTAGGTCCTAAAGGTCCGCGCCAAGCTAGCGTGGTATCCCAGGTCGCAGCACTGTGAAGAAATGTCAGACACATTTTCAGGAAAAAAAAACCAAAAACAAAACTGTGGTTATCATATCAGAAATGATGTCAGAACATCGTGTTCAAAGTTGATCTTCCAAAACAAGAGCTCACATCCTGATTGGAGTTAGCCTACAGTAGGACGCCAGAGATAATTACAGAGCTTTATCGCACTGAACGGTGTTCCCTATACAAGCTCATACTGACACACCAGAGCAACATGGAGAGTAAACACATTATTAAGGAATCATTAGTGATGCCGATGCAAAGTGACAGAGCGGACTTCTTGCTGAGCAAACGTTGGCTTTTGATGTGTGCTGAGAAGTCAAAACCTTTTCTTCCTCTGCCCTGCAAGTGACAGTCAAACTAGACGTCTTTACAATCCCAATTCCACGCAGCTCTGAAAGGATTTGGTATGCCGTTCAGTGTCCAGACAATTGATCCAACCGAGCAGAACAAGACCAAGAGAACTGGAATAGCCACAAATCAGTATTTCTATACAACCGGTTAACATTTATCTATCATAAACAGCAAAAGATCGTAGAAAGGGTTCTGTCAGTCGTCATCTGTACCTGTGGGTAAAATAAAGGTCCGCGCCAAGCTAGCGTGGTATCCCAGGTCGCAGCACTGTGAAGAAATGTCAGACACATTTTCAGGAAAAAAAAACCAAAAACAAAACTGTGGTTATCATATCAGAAATGATGTCAGAACATCGTGTTCAAAGTTGATCTTCCAAAACAAGAGCTCACATCCTGATTGGAGTTAGCCTACAGTAGGACGCCAGAGATAATTACAGAGCTTTATCGCACTGAACGGTGTTCCCTATACAAGCTCATACTGACACACCAGAGCAACATGGAGAGTAAACACATTATTAAGGAATCATTAGTGATGCCGATGCAAAGTGACAGAGCGGACTTCTTGCTGAGCAAACGTTGGCTTTTGATGTGTGCTGAGAAGTCAAAACCTTTTCTTCCTCTGCCCTGCAAGTGACAGTCAAACTAGACGTCTTTACAATCCCAATTCCACGCAGCTCTGAAAGGATTTGGTATGCCGTTCAGTGTCCAGACAATTGATCCAACCACAGGTACAGATGACGACTGACAGAACCCTTTCTACGATGGAACTTTCCTGTACGACTGAGAGCCTCCACAAGCATCAAACAGCAAAAGAGCGATATGAAATACATTTCCTGTTACGCATCACTGCATGCAGACGAATTTAATGACATGGTGTCTGACTCCAAACCGCTCCTGATGTAGTGCCATATGGCGGCCTCGGGGAAACACCAGTCAGAACATTAAATCACAAAGAAATAAGAGTAGAATCATTTGCAATGAACGGGGTGGCAAGTCTTTCAAATTTGGAACAGCCCCTTGACAGATATTTTTTCATTGGTGTCGAGAAAATAGTCATCTTTCTCCCAGACAACGTGTGATATTAATGATTGAATACAAAACATGACAAAAATAACTGACGCCCATTCAAATGCATTGAGAGAAAAAAAATCTAATATGTCATTTAGATTTAACAACCCCCCCCCCTTCAAAAACAAATATACTGTGTGTATTGATTAAAAAAAAATCCACTGTATAAAGGTTGAGAAGCACTGATACATGAAGTATGTGCCGTGCAATTGACTGGTGACCAGTCCGGGGTGCAACCCTAACGAGAACAGCGGTACAGAAAAATAGATCGATGCGCATCCTCAATATGACACTGCGACTACAACATTCAGAGAGAAGATTAGTCACATCCACTGATTCCAACCGCACAGACTAAAGGAAATCCAATGGAATCGGTCTACGGGGGCTGGTTAAGATAGCGTGTCGATACCCTCGACCGTGTTGACATTTGGTGGACTAAAATTAGGAAAGGCCGCAGTGGATTATACATAGTCCAATGATGTCGAGTAAATGCATTCATTCATATCATTCTTCACGAGGCTTTATTCAAGTGTATGACTTAAAACTTGGTGTTGAACACCAGTTGTGAAGACAGGGAAACAAATGCGACGTGGCCGTCAAGTTTGTGAGTGTGCGACACACACTGCAGTCGTCACACTTCAGTCATGCCACGTAAACAACCACGTGTTGCATACTTACGTCGATCATATCAGCGACATCGTGGATGTAATATTTGGCCACCACCGCGTTTGTTGCTGCCAGGTTCAACAAATAGTCGTTGCGAGCTTTGGTGCACTTCAGCTTATTCTCTGAGTACTTGGCTTGCCTCTAAAGAGGAAAAACACATCAGTGGTTAAATCAAACAGATGCGCGTGTGTGTGTGTGTGTGTGTGTGTGTGTGTGTGTGTGTGTGTGTGTGTGTGTGTGTGTGTGTGTGTGTGTGTGTGTGTGTGTGTGTGTGTGTGTGTGTGTGTGTGTGTGTGTGTGTGTGTGTGTGTGTGTGTGTGTGTGTGTGTGTGTGTGTGTGTGTGTGTGTGTGTGTGTGTGTGTGTGTGTGTGTGTGTGTGTGTGTGTGTGTGTGTGTGTGTGTGTGTGTGTGTGTGTGTGTGTGTGTGTGTGTGTGCGCGTGTGTGTACTGAGGCGGCTGTAGCCCTGGGACCCTCCAAGAGGCAGAGATGGTAGCGGCAAATTGGGAAACACTCCAGGGAAGCTGCATCCACATTAGTCGTGTGTTAAGCGGGGCGGGCAGGCTTGTGTTTAGTCATGAGTGTGTTTCTCAGCACTCTGGAGACTGCACAATGCTGACAAAAAAGGCTGAGACTTTATCAGCCGGTGCGCTCAGCGGGCGTAATGCATCTAATGAGAGTCAACACTGTACAAGAGCTGTAGCACAATTTATGCCTCGACAAATATCGGTTACAATATCAAGATGCATGACTGGGGGAACAACATGAGGAAATATGGAGAACAATCCGATCGTGATGGAGGTACAACCACAATATTAAATATTATACGGTACTGTATGGCCTTCTTGTGTGGGATTGACATATTCTCCCTGTGCTTGCATAGGTTTTCTCCAAGTCATCGAGCTTCCTTTCCTTTTTTATATGTGCATATAAGGGTAACTGAAGACTCTAAATTTCGAGCGTGAACGGCTGCGATTGGCTGGTGACCGGCGCGGGGTGTAGGCTGCTTCTGCAAAGTCAGCCGGGATAGGCTGCAAGTCACCCGCAACCCAGATGAGGACACGTGGAAATGGAAGGATAGGTTGATCGGGCGGTATACCTAATGAAATGGCCGGTGAGTGCACTTGACATTTTTTTTTAACTAGCAAAATGTAGTTGCATGGAACTGTTTAAATCCTTTTTTCTTGTACTGACTTAACAGAATAGCTTCCTTTCAGACCGTTTTTTTGCTCTATGACGCCTAAAGCCTGCGGGATGCAAATTTCAGCGGTACCACGTAAGTAGGTAGGCTATTTCCACCTCAAAGTGTGAGGCAGAGACAACATCAATAGCTTTGAAAAGCGGGACGAGTGGGGAGGAATGTTCACTGCTGCACGGCGTTAGAAAAAGTGCTCAATTCCCAAGCAAGCGCCATTCCCATATAAATCAGAAACACTGTCATCCTCTAAGCCTTTTGATTTCCTGCACCTGATATGAAGGGAATTTCATTTGCATGAGGAAATTCCAGAGGAAGCTCCTGAGCGAAAACTGTTGAAAGTCATCTCGCTCTGCAGCAGTCGAATGTGAACTGAGCTCGCCTTTTAGCCTGGAGTTCCGCAGTCTCCTCAGAGAGTTTTTGACTGCACGAGCTGAGTTTGCCGCTGTTTGTGGCTGTCGTATATACATTTTTGTTACCTCTGCCAAGGACGTTATGATGTAATCTCTGTTGGTTTGCCCGTTTTGATTTCCTGTGTACACATGCATTCAGAGGAACAATCAAATGCCTCAAAAAGCAGCGGTGCGCATATCACCTACGCTCCATATAAGCCCCACTCCTTTCTTTAATTCGACCACACAAGCACTAAAATAATCAGCCGATATTTGTTACTTGAATTTATCCCCCTTTGTTTTTTAAAACTCCGTTCATGTTAATTAGTTTTTAGGGCAGGTTTGTTATTCTTTAATCGTTTTGGGGTTGGTTTTTTTTTTCCAAAATGCTTTATTTTAAATTCGTTTTTTATTAGTTTTAATATGCAAAAAATATGCGCAGTACTTGTCGAGTGCAAGGTGGGAGAAAAAAAGGTCGCTAAGTATTCTTTAATAAAGTGAACTACAACTCCCAGTTCTTCCTTCTTTTGTGAGGATGTACAGCATTAGAATAAATACATTTAAAATGAAGACCAACAGCTGAAGTATAATTTTGATTGACGAAGACAAAAAAAAAAAGAAAGACATTTTCACCATTATTATAGTTAGTTTTTGTTGGTTCTACAAACATAAGATGTAGTTTCAGTTGGTTTTCATTTTTGTCCTTTTTATTTCATTTCATTAACTCATTCAGTACCAGCCAATTCTGGACCAAGTCTGAAAAGATGTTTAAAAACGTCTTTAGGAGTGAATGAGTTAAGGTAAATGTTTTCCCAAGTGTAGTTTTAGTTAATTAAACTTTTGTTAACTATATTAACCATGTTCTCGATTCATGACAGGATTAAGATCTCCAATAAATACCCACCTTCTCTTTCATCTTCTCGATCTTCCTCACAGAGCTGCGTCGGGACTGGCGGTCTTCATGCCGCAGGAGGTTCACGTTGAGATCCCCCGACTTGCTGAACTGCTTCTCCTCCTGTTTCTCTGCGTCCTTCAGTTTGCTCTCGGCGTTGATGCTCTCCGTGTGGTACATGTGATACGTCTTCATCACCTGTGGAGGATATGCCAAAGTTCAAACCATGGCTGCCATCATCGGCATGCTCGTATCGTTATCAAATTGGACAGATTCAATTGTCAAGCTTTGAGGGGATGCTGAAAGGTCAAAAAATGGGCCACTTGTTACTTAGTGTCCTTTTTTTTATATTCATAAAGAGGCGTGTTTCCAATGTGAGGCTGGTCTGACTTGAAAATGGAATGCTGGAGTCCTTCTCCACTTGAATGAGAAGGCACTTTAAAAAAAAAAAAGAGCCCAGTCAGTCTAATTTATCGAACAAAATACGCCTCTGGGAGATGTTTTCTTCCACATTCTTCAGTTCTTTCCAAAGGCTGCTTTGCTCTTTCACGGTGGCCTGGTGGATCATTCAAGGCAAAAGATATAGCATGTCACCACGCATGGAATTTCTCAACAGAACACAGGAAGCCGAGCCATCCTCGCCTCCCCCTCCTCAATGTGCTTTAAGAATCTTCTTTTTTTTTCCTCTCTCTCTCTCTTCATCCTCCCTACTACCACTTTAATATTACAAGGTGACCTCAGGTTTGTCATGGCAGAAGGCCTGAAAAAAAAAAGTCCCCTGTGTTCTTGTTAAATGTAACCATATGCGTCTTTCTTACTCTTGTAAAGTGTCACCCAGATGTGAGTGGTGTCTTTTAACATCCTGAAAGCAATTAGATTTTTTTTCATCTTTTTTTTTTTTTTAAACATCCCAGGATGTTGAACAGTCAACATAAACAGTGACACTACAAGAACTTTCATCTCAAGCACTGCCTTTGAGTCAAACCCCTGTGATAATATTTTCCAATGTTGCCTTTGAAGAAGCTCTATTTAGGACCATCATTGTGTGCCGCTACATGAAAGACCACCACACTCCAGGAAGGTGGTGGGGCAGTGGGT